TTGTTTAAACTACATTTTTGGTTAAAATTGTGACAATCTTTCTTGTCCCATCTGAGCATTAGTCCTAGCTAAGTCGCACTGCTCTGAGATCCATTACAAAGTTTTCATTTTTAGTGCTCTTGCATGAAGTAAGGTATTCCAGTAACAGTAATCTTCACATGTTCCTTAATGTGCCTAACAGAACAAATCTATTAGACATCATGGGCACTAAGCTAATCTATGTTGCTCGGATTCTTCAAAAATTGTCACCGAGAGAGTGGTCTGAGCAACATAGAAGCTAATAATATTTGGAAAGGGCCTACGATAACATGATTATCAAGAACCATTTCATGGTCAAAGAACAAATCTATTAGACATCATGGGCACTAAGCTAATCTATGTTGCTCGGATTCTTCAAAAATTGTCACCAGAGAGTGGTCTGAGCAACATAGAAGCTAATAATATTTGGAAAGGGCCTACGATAACATGATTATCAAGAACCATTTCATGGTCAAAGACCAGTAAGAATCTTTGTTAAATTATTGGAACATCTCATGCATGATGGACTCTTTAAGTAAATTATATACCTCATTATCAGACAGGTAAAAACATATTTCAGAAAAGAAACAATTCCACAAGAAACTGCTCAAAATGTACATACAACAAGTCAGTAAGATCTCAGTCAGTCGACATCCCGGTTTTTGACACCCGAGGTAAGTTCAGCTTCAGCAGAAGGTAACCTCTCATAAACTCGGGACCCAACTGGTAGAAGCTTAATCTTGCCCAGTCTAAGTGTTTGGCTAAGCTTCTCATAGTTCCACCTCTGCTGAATATACACAACAACTCCCAGTACAACTGCAGCCACTGGTATGGCAATGTCTCCAAACTTGGTGTAAAAATCAAACCTGGGGTTCACAAACTCGTATTCTTCGGAGAAATAGGGATTGGGAACAGGAGATCTGATGTAATCATACACATGAGGCAGAAGTCTAACGGACGTAAGTCCAATATAATATAGCTTCCTAAGTGGTTTGCAATGGATTTGCCAAACAAGGTTGCCTATCACTTGAGGAAGCAAAAAGAAATCTTGAATCAAACCCATGTACTCCTCCAATTCAGTTTCCCATTCCCTCAAGGTGTGGAAATTTCCAGTGGAATCTATGTAACGTTCAGCATGAAGAGGTTTCTGGCTTGTATTATAGGAGTGGATAAACAGAACAATCATATATCCAACAGCATGTATTACCAGTGTACTGAGAAGTACCCACTTGTCACTTGGAACACGATGTGGTTCAAGAGGGCTCCTTGCCAATAATCTGATACGGGATCTCCACACCTTTTGGCTGAGCCTCGCTGTTACTAAAAAGGCAACAAGCACAAGAACCTTGACAGTATAATCAATCAGACGAATCCACTGGCTGTTGTCAAGATCATAAGACGGAGTCTCATTGATTTCAGAACCCATCATTTTGAACAAAGCCTCTGCACCTGTGATCAAAGGCAGTCCGTAGCCAAGAGCTTGGACACCTAGCATGGCAAGCGAGACATACGGAACTGATTCCGCATTATCTCTGATGTAAATTAGTTGGCTGAGAATGCAAAAGATCGCCAGAGAGAGTGTCAAGATGCGGAGGATGCCCTCTACTCCCCTACGGGAAAGAATGTCTTCTCGCTGCTTCCTGTACATAATGGGGAATGTTTGAATGTTTACGGGATTAAAATAGAGAGGATCATCCTCAGGTCTTTGAGAGGATACATAGATTTTAGCTGTTGGATTGACCAACCAACGAGCAGTGGTTGGTGGGTATGTTATAACCACCTCAATCAGACAATCCAATCCAGCCTCAAGGTCCATACTTTCTGATAGTATTTTCCAGGAGGCTCTAACATCCCTGCAACCAATGAGGTACATCTTTCCAACATGTGGATCATACAGTCCCTCTACAAAAAGCAATGAGATGTTATTGTATGACGTCCCAATGAGACTAAGTTGAGCAGAAACATTTAAGAGAAGCTGTTTTTCTGTGTATTCAGCCTTGGCATGATAAGAATTCTCTTTTTCACCGATGGAACCGTTTGTCAGAGGCCCAAACATTGGACCAAGAGAAAGAATCTCCATTTCAATTTCAACTCTTTGGTTAGCTGAGCCAGCAATTTGATCTGCAACTGCTGATGTGTGAAGGGAGAGATCCTCAGAAAGAATCGAAAGGCTGACAGGAAAAGAATCTGCATCCTCCAGTTTTGGGAATGTCAACAGTGATTTCTTAAACATTGAACCAAGGGTAAAGGGCTCATTTTTTTCAAGGACTGTAGCAGCTGCATTGATTTTTGAGTACTTGTAGTATGGAAGAGAAGCAGTATATTGATCCCACAGCTCAACAGGGCGGATCAGTTTCTCAAATGATAAAGGAAAGTAACGCCTACTGCTTCCATCAATACTGGAAAAATGACCAATAATTATGCTCCTTTGTGTTATAGAAAAGGAGAGCGAAACATACAAGCAGATTCGAGAATCACAGTTGCTGTCTTCTGCACCAACTACTCCATGGCAACCAACCATACAAAGCTGTCCACTGGAAGATTTCCAGATTCCCTCAGCAGAAAGAGTCATGTTATTAAGCCCAGTCCTTTGTGCTGCAGTGAACTGATTCTCCAATGGAGAAATCACTCTAAACACAGAAGAGACCCTAGAAGAAGTGACATTATCTTTTACAGATATTGTATCACATCGAACATCCTGAAGGACAAGCTTGACGTCCTTAAAACCCCCATCCGTGGCATTTATCTCCTTGTCCGATCTGAATGGACCCAATTGACTGCAAAATCATCTGTACCGTTGCATTTCCAGTTCGGAACAACTATTAAGGCTTCTTGATGAGTGAATCTTTGAAGAATATAGCAGAAGTCAAGCCCTCTATATGTATTTATCTCAGTACTCAGACTATCTTTGTACGGATATGGATCACAAGCTTTTGACACAAACTTTTCAGAGCCAAATTCGTACTTTGAAGAAGTTCCCAGCCAAGAAGACATATGAACTTCATCAAAGTACTTAAAACTCGTCTTTGGGTTTAAGCTTTTCATGGTTCCAAGAATAGCTCTATTTGCGAGTGTATTTGTTCTAGGATAATGAAGCACCAGCAAAATTCGATCATCTTGCATAAGAGGTGGCTGATTAGTATAACCAGATTCCTTTACCCACTGCCATGGATCAGTTGACTCTTGCTGACGAGAAGGCAACATCGTTGTCCCTAACAAACACATGACTCTTTCCCCTTGATTTTTCTTCGATTCCATGTATACTCCTTCAAAAGTCACCGAAAGCTGGGAATGACCGGGCCAAATGTCAAAATGAGGACTTCTCTCGTATGGTTTACTTGAAAACAAGCCATCTAGGGTGATACCGATCTGCAATACCCACTAACACTCACAGATGTCTTAGACAGATGAGCACGATCAACATTCGTAACCCAAAAAGAAACTAAGTTCAACGGAGATCGAAGATCCGATGATCTGTTTGCAAGATCTCTATCATCAAAAGGCATTATTGAAGCAGCCCCATTAGACACTTGCCACCAATCTCCATTCAGAAAACTTAATTCATGTTTTATGCTATAGATTCTGTTATCATCAGGTTCCAATTCAGAAGCAGAAGCTAAAACAAAAGCACATTCTTTTTTGACTTCATCAGTTCTTTCGTATTTGTAAGGCATAGAAGTTCTAGTCCTAGGTCCTAACTCACCATCTACCACATAAGAATGAACAAAACCAACAGACAGCAACATCAACCAGATAACAATACTAGCCATTGTCCAAAAAGAAGCAAAAAAAGACATTTCCCCTAACCCCCCTTAAATCAAGATTCTTCAAGTATTAGTGGAAAACAGAGAAATTCATGACTAACCCTTTTTAGAATTAAGATTGAACTTGCTAAAATCGAAATCAAAACAGTAAAAAACAAACTTGGGAACTTATCAAAATCAAGTCTTTGAGATAGGAATTAGTGAATCTTGATGAAGAAATAGCAAGGTGCACTTACCTGGTAACTCAAATCTTCATAGAAAGAGAGAAATAGAACAGAGAATAAAAAGGAGAATGATGATCAATTTGAGAAAAAAGAGAGAAGTTGGTGCTTTGATTTTGATAATTAGGGTAAGTAGAGAGAGTAAGGTGTGAAGTTGAAGTCAAGGCAGCTGATGATGGCGACACTGTTGATGTTTAGTCAAATATTTCTTACAAACTACTCCCTCTATATCATTTTATATATCACATTTTTACTTTGTACTTGCATTAAGAAATGATGTAACTTTATCCTTTTATCCTTATTTAATGTTTTCATAAGTCAACTTTATAATAAATGATGAATACATTTTCAAGATTAATTAATTATTCTATTAAGGGTATAATAGATAAAATATGATAATTTATCCATAAATTTTATAAAATGACAAGTATTATGGTCCAACTATTTATAGAAAGGGATGACAAATAAAATGAGACGGAGGGAATATGTGCCAACTCCTCTAATCTCTGTTTTTATTTACTTAATAATATTTTGGTCGGAAAAGAACCAAAATAGTTGCTTAATTAATAAACCAGATCTCAATTAATCAATTTAACTTGATTTTCAGAGGATTACTCTTGAACTACTCACTCAGTTGAGTTTTGGTTGTTCACACTAGAGAGTGCACACACTTTAAAAAAAAAAGAAATAGAAAAAGAAAACTAATATGTTAGAGTGGACAAGTAAAAGGAATTTTTTAATATATTGAATGAGTAAAAATGAATAATAATTTTCTTGTAATTATTCAAACTTATCACTTATTATGTTGGGAGTCACAATAAATGAAGATGATAGTATGCTTTTTTAAAAAGAATCATATTTTTCTTCGACAGGTTTAGAGGTTAAGAGGGATTCCTTCAAACAAATATTTTTAGTGCAAGTATTATCAATTTGGTAGGAGAAAATGAGATTAGTTAAGAGTAATAAAAGAAGTGATTTTTTTTAAAAAAGAAATAGATTTGAATCTTAGATGGGTGGCCCATGTGAGCTTCATCAGAATCTTAGATGGTGCATATACAGTCTCGAAGAAAATATTAAACAAATCTGATTTGTCTCCTCCATTTTTTCCATGTTTTGCTTGAGGTCGTGCATATGAGATAGCTCAGTGGCGGATTCAGAAATTTTATTCCATGGGTGCTCAATTATTTTTAATTTGAGAATTGCTATATAAAGTGGGTGCTTAGTTAATAAATTTGAATGAATTATTAGATATTACAAACAAATATTAGTGTTTATTGCAAAAAGCAAGTACCCATAATCCATAACATACATCCGCCACTGACATAGATTAAATTTAGTGGCTATAATTGATCAAAGTAAATTCTTATAACCACAAGCATATTTATGAATCACTTCCATCAGAGTCACTCTAGTCTTAATGAACCAACCATGCATAGCTTCTCAAAGGAAGTAGCCATTGTTTTTTTTAAAAATAAATGGTTGTTTCAAAGATGTTGCTCATGAAAGATGCAGTTTTGTATAGGAATGACTGCTCTCAAGACAGCAGAAACAGTCACATAGCTTTGTTTCTGTACTCAAGAGCTTATTGTCATGACCAGCCACTTTGCACGGAGTGTTAGTTGCAGTCTAAGTCCGTGACATTATATATAGAATCTTTCACTTCAGTCTCCCAGTCTAGGATGAACAATAGTTCCTGATTCTTACAAATTGCATCATGCTATGGCACTTTGAAACTACACCAATGTCAAATGCTTCTGTCATTGTGCAAATTCATCTTGACACATGGATTTCAAAGCTATAGATACCTGCTGTTAGATACAAAATAGTAATTCGAGTCATAGCTCAGCTTTGAAATAATATGGACGTTGTCTTATTTTAGCGTCTGATTTTCTAGTTAGATTTCTCTCTCAAAAGTCACCCGCTCGTTAGCCAAGTGAATCAGCATGAGAAAATCACTTTATCGTCCCGTTCTGTGTACATTTCACAGGAGAAACCATTTTTTTCATACCAAGAGTCGAGCCAAGATTTTAAAACAGTGTACACAACTACTAAATCACCTAGAGAGGCTCAGATTGCTACATTATGTTTAAATACTCTACTATTCAGAGAGTGTTATATATAGTTGGAAGACAATCTTCCCTAACTCAAACAAAATGTCTTTCCTGATTCTTCCTCACCTTAGACCAATCTTTTAATTCGATTTCATTTATGAGTTCAGGTCCTTTCCTTTAGTCAGGACCAAACAACAACCACATCGCCTCCTAATTGGTATAGTCACACATTCTGCAAACAAGATCCATGTATAGCAAACAGATATCGAAGAAATACATAATCTTTCTTCTTTTTTTGGTTGATTTTATCAAAGATATATATATATAGCTTATGAAGGATAGTAAACAAGCGAGTTTGTACTGATACAATCATGCTAGGAATAGATATACAGAGTTAGCAAATGAACATAAATAATGTCTTCTGAAACATGTTACGGATTGAGACTAGTTTCATCGTTTGATCTCCCAAAGCAACTATCAAAGCAGTCCAATTCCCTCAACTTCAACAGCAAAAACAGCACAATACCACACCCAAATCCCAATGCTGCACTGGACCCCGTCAATGAAACAGCAGCACAAACCAACATAACAAAAGATTCTTCCTTTGAGTTCATATCCCTTGAAGCCATAGCCAATTCAATCCCAGCAAACAACAGAAGCACCCCAAGTATCCCAATAGGAAACTGATTCAAAATCCTCACAAATGAACTCCCAAATACCAAACCAAGAACCAATTTCCCCAATCCAAGAAACGCCACCGATGCACCACTCCTCCCACCAAATCTGTACTGTCCAGCCAGCCCCCTGCCCCGTGGCAACACGGCATTGCCCCAAACCAAGAACCAACCAAATTCATTAACCCAACACTCACGGAGACTCTAGTAGCAGACACTTCCTTCTCCGGGAACAAATCAGCTGACAATTTACACACAGCGATCACCGAATTCAATACGGATAACGGAATCTGAGGAATCGCTCCCCGGAGAAATCCGGTTTTCCAATCTTCCCATGTGATTTTCAAAATGTGAATTTTTGATGGGCCAAATTTAATATCGTGAATGATTGAAGGATCACGAACAAAACAGAGGATCAATCCCAGTAAAAACACTATAAGAGCTGCCGGGATTGCTGATAGTGTTCGTAATCTACGCCGAACGTTCCTGTCTTCATCTTCATCTTCATCGTCCTCAACAACTTCGCCGGAGCCGGTAACGAGTATAAGAAAAGACACACAAGTGAGAGCCAGAATAACGCCGTCAAGGCCAAGCCACGAACGTGGGGAGGTGGCGCTAGCCTTTGTAGAGGTAAAATCTTGGTTATAACGGATGTATTTGATAGCAGAGAAGGCAAAAGCGAGGCCCTGAGAAAGCTGAACGCCGCGAACAACAGGAAGGGGAATAAAGCGGTAGAAGAAGGACATGAGTCCGGTGACTCCAAGGAATAAAAGTGTGCCGGCGGTGCATATTCCGGCGGCGGCGATTTGGGGAACAGTGAGATGAGGTATTTCAGAGACGGCGACGGCAGCAATAGATTTCATGGGCTGAACAGGCATAGGGATTCCGAAAATAGCACCGGTGATGATGTTGTAGAATGCAGTGAAGATAAGGGTAGTGCTGAGGTCAAGATTACTGACTAAAGTGAGTGCTAAGACAATGGGGATGTAGGTGCCTAAATCGCCGACGGAGCCACCAAGTTCGGAGAGTAAGGAGGTTTTCAGGCGGAGAGAGCCGGTGAATGGAAGGGCGGAAAGGCGGCTGCGCCACCAGTTGCGGCGGAGGAGGGGAGTAGTTTGGTCAGAAGTTTGCTCTGCCATTTTTTGCCTGTGGGAGTTGGCAGGGGAGGGGAGGGACCTATCAGTGATCACAAATGATGAAAAGAAAGTGAAGATTAAATTTTTTCTAATATACACTCCCTTTATATTATATTATATAGTAATTTGAATAATTCAAGATTTAAAAAATAATTTATAAATGGGTTATATTGAACTTGTAAATAAAATGTAATTTGATAGGTGACACAAATATTATGGTATGTTTAAAACCGCAGAGGGAAGGTAGTTTCCTAACTTAAACTCATTCATCATTTTAGAAACGTTTCAAGTGGTGAAGGTTGGAACTGTTTGTGTGAAGATGCCGTTGATATTCGAATCTGTGATAGCAGTTGATGTTTGATCTACGAGAGCACAAACAAATATCTGTGCAAAATAAGTGTAGAATTTAAGTTGGAGATAAGGAAGGAGTCATGAGAAGTACTAGTGTCGTGCTATTATTACTAATCTAAGGGAGTATGAAAGTGACCTCCACAGGCCGCAATCATCTCTTCACTACACCAAAAGGCAAATCATATTTGGTAAAATTTGAAAGGTGCTTTTTCTTCTAGAACCTGTTGAATTTTTCAAGGGATGGTTGGTTGATTTATTATTTAATAATTTTGGATGAGTAGGATCGAGTTTATAATTTAAAAACTGCAAAAGGGAGTGAGACAAATACAATTTAAAAAGCTAGCTGTCAAAGTTTAGGGGTCGTTTTAGGGTGTATAAAGACGAGAAAATGACATAAATGGTCCCTAAACTATCATAGTAAGTCTAAAATAGTTCTTAAACTATACACTTAACATAAATAGTCCCTTAACTATCTACAATCTTGTCAAGTTTGGTCTGTATCTACTTTTTATAGACACCCGTTAACAAACTTCGTAATTCAGCTACTCTCTCTTAATTTTCTTTTTTCCTCTTCTTTTCTTCATTGACGCTGTTATAGTAAAGAAAACCTTGTCAAGTTTGGTGTTGTTTTTGTGCAGTTTGGGGTAGCTTGGTGATGTTTTTTGGTGCAGTTTTTGTGCTATTTTTTATGCAGTTTGCAGCTGATTTTTGATGCTCGAGTGTTTTTGGTGCAAATTTTTCATAGTCTGATGTAGTAGTTTGGTATTGATATTTTAATGGTTTGATGTTGTTGTCTAGTGTTGTGTTATGTACAGTTTTCATGCTGATTTTTTGGCATTTTAGAGTTGCAATTTGATTCAACTCAAATAAAATAACGACCAACACACAATTACAGTAAGACAATGAAGAAAAGAATCGGACAAAATAAAGTGAAGAAATAGTGAGATAATAGAGCAAAGAAGTGGCAAAAAAAAGTCAGGAGATAGAGA